TTGTTTATTCTTTTCTCTATTTTTAAGGGCGTCTTCGCATGTAATAATAATTAATCACGAATCTGTAAATTCGTAATTGTTTATTACTTTAAATATTTTACCTTTCAAAGTATTAAATATCATTAATTGTTATGTCTCGTAGCTTACTACATTGTGTTTTTATATTAACTCGTGACCTTAAGATATCATAATTATTTCTAATTATTAGGGCTGGCACCATTTTCGTTTGAGCTCTCCGTTCGACTCATTTGTATTCATAAAATGATTCAAAGATTTTTATAATACCATATAAGGTATTTTATCCCTCTTTTCTGCGTGCTTTCGCGCAGTCGGAGCGTTTTCGAGAGGTCCAGGTTCGAGTCCCGGCGAGGGTATAGCTCCTTTTTCATGTACTCCTGCTTCAAAAATACCCAATGTCTCTACAGTGGCGCCCGAACTAAAAGGTGGTGGATGGCGACTGGGCCTCCTAATCCCCAATCGCCTTTCCTCCCTTCTTCCAATATGCCTTCGTGTTGTAACGGTAGCACACTCAGCGCGTACTCGAGAGGTCCAGGTTCTAGGGCATTGTAACGAATCGAGAGTAATATATATATACTTTTGGTGCGACCGATTGCAACCAAAATAAGAAGTGCACAACTAAATGTTATAACAATTCTATATACAAAATTTCAACGTTCCGTTCTGAGCTATTCGTTTTTTTGACTGATGCGAGATACATACATACGTAAGTACGTACAGAGGCCAAGAAAAAAATTCTCTTCTGAATCCATTTTAAATCAGTTTTGTAATTCATTTTGAAAAAAAAAAATTCCCTTTTCGACGAAAAAGCACACGATTAGGCCAACAGGCAAAAAGGCAGAGTTTTCGGTGCACAAAACTGAAAGTTTATTTTTGGTTCCACTCGGCCAAAAAAAAAAAAAAAAAAAAAAAAAATTGAAGGTGCAAAAACTGACTTAATTCACTATTCTGCTAAGTTTCAAATGTAAACAAATATGGCTTCTATAGTAAACAAAAATTAGGCTTAGCAGCACTTACACAATTTTTAAATTGTTGTTAATTCTACAACTATTGCATGCACATTAGTTAAAGAGCTAAAAACCTTAACCGAAGAAAAGAGTAACATAATTCAATCATTTTTTTAAAGCAAACATGCACAATCTACCAACATATGAGAATAATAAAAAAAAAGAAAAAGAACTGATCTCACCGAGCCAAGTAACACAGTGGGTATGTATTCAATGAATTTAAGTATTTAATTCTATATATAAAATTTCAACGTTCTGAGGCTATTCGTTTTTGAGTTATGCAAGACACATACATAGCAACGTACATGTACGACAGACGTCACGAAAAAATCTCTTCTGAATCCATTTTAAATCACATTTATAATCCGTTCGGAAAAAAAAAAAAAAAAAAAAAAAAAAAAAAAAGAGTTCTTTATTCTGCCCTTACGTACAGATGTCACACAAATAATTGTTAAATTGCATTCGATAGAGGTCAAAATGGATATTTTCGTTGAAATACGATACCCTCAATATTTCGTGAATACAATACTTCCTTTACTTCGTACAAGGAAGTAAAAATTGTCTTTGATTAAAATTACTTCTCAAAATTAATTGTCCTAGAAAAAAATCTGCAATTAAATGCAAATTATAATTTTTAAAAGAATTAGACACAAATAGATTACTTCTCTATAGATGTTGTAACTTATATTTATGACGTAATACAAAAATTATTAAGCGAAGAAAATAAAAAAAAAAATTGAAAAAAAAAAATATTGTTATAGAATTAACGTCTACTCTTACTGATGGATGCGATTTTTTCTTAATTCAGGAAACTTGTGATAATGGCCATTCTAATAATACTTTATTAAACTTAATTTTGAAACCATCCAGAAATTGTTCTTTAAAAGATTATGGTACTTAAAAAATTATCACACGTCTGTAACAAAAAACGAAAACTTCAAACTCACAGTTTTAATAGTAATTAAAAATTTCTATACAAACCCATTTTCTTTACAATATATAAATAATGTTTTCTAAGTAATATACATTTTAATGGCAATTTTTACAATGAATATAAGCTACTAATAATATCTGTTATAAATTCATTTGCTATATTAAAGTGTACGAATATAGTTTGATGAAAAATGACAGCGTTTTTATTACTAAACCCCGAGCTAAGGAACTGCAATGTTTTGAATAAATGATGCTTGAATTGTAACAAATATTGGTACTTACGTATTAATGTAACCACCTTAGCAGAAGTCACCAAATTTTCAAAATGCACCAAACTCCGGAAACTGTGCGTATAACCATACTTCTGGCAACCATGCTCATACCAGTCCTTCCAACGAGATATATACTGAATATGAAGTCGTTATATGTTGTATGAAGTCATTGAGTCCTTCAGTCAAGTAATGCCACCATTTTCATATACTTTTTCTTCTGTTGTATTCGAAATTCGGACGATTTTTACAAGCACATCGTGATATTTTTTTTTAATCTTAGTTTTAAAATATGAGCTTAGGGAATTTGCCAACAATGGACGAAACTGCAGTAAAATTTCTACAAGAATACAGACTTTTGCTGAAAATGTTCTAAAGCGAACAACGAAGAAACGCATTTCCTGGATAGCTGTTGTTGCAGACGATTAAGTCAAACTGTAATTTTTTTTTTTTTTTTTTTTTTAAGTGAAAAGAGAACGCTGAGTACTTTAGAAGAAGAAAAGCGCAAAAAAGTTGCAAAACGATTTGAAGAAATATGTAAGTTTTTTTTTTTATTATTTTATTATATAATCTTTATTTAATAATTTAAATTTGTATTTTAAATTGCTAAAGAATGTTTTCTTTTCATATATTGATAATGTTGCCAATTTACGATAAATATCGTTAATTTGGGAAATATTTCTAAGAAAAGGCGTGAAAACCATCAGCCTTGCGCCCGATAAGTAACGTTTTACCTTTTCATCTATAAGAAATCCCCAAATTGCGCCAAGGTGGTTGCGTTAATACGTAATTTGACTTCTTTACGTCAAAAGTTGACCTAGATTCTAATTTCAATATCTGTGATTTTACGTTTATTTTCAGCTTACCTTGACGTAATGGTTAATTAAATTAAAATAATTAGAGAAAACAAGTTTAAATGAAATGCAGCAAAAAATGTGTATAATTTGATAGGCAGTACAAGGAAATATTCAAATACCTAAATATTAAATTTTCAGGCTGACACATTTAAAATTGCTCTAATTGATCATTAAAGAACTTTAATTAACTAAAATTAAACATAAGTAAATTATGAAAACTTCTTCAGAGAAAAACTTGGAAAGGGGGAAAAACTGAATAATTAGAAACTAATTTCTTTCCCTCATTTATTAAAATTTCCTTCGACGCATATATAAAAGTACTTTGGAGTTTTATATGGTTATTAAATTTTATAGGGAGCTTTATGTCGTTTATATCTGTATGTAAAAATTATTAATTTCTTTATTTTCTACTTTCTTATACGACGTTTCGAATCTGATAAATTTGTACCCTTAAAAACTATTCTTCATCACAGATTCCAAATGCTCATCCATCATTCGCGTTTTGTTCTTATTGATTTTCGACTGATGAAAGAAGCTGTTCAAGTATAAATATGTTCTCAAGCAAAGCGATTGTTTAGCGCAGAAATTCGCGTTTGAGCTTATTTATTTTTTGACAGAAGTATTGATGAAATTTAATAAAATTTGTGTCTTCAGATCTTTGAATAAGATTTATATAACATTGTAAATTAGTTTGCTCCCTTCGTTGATTTTTTGGTTCGTTTTTAATGGTAATGAAAATAATGTAAACTCGAATTTCAAATAGCTAAAATCTTTCCAGACCGTATTTACAACAAATGCATAACTGAAATTTATTGGCGGGCTTCAAGAAACTGCTTCGTGGCCGCTAGTTTCTTTGCTTCGTACCCGCTAGTTACACCACTAGTAATCACACCACCTCTTTGAAACTAAAATTCACTATATGTTTTTAGTTAGATTATAATTTTCGTCAAGAATGTGTGTGTTTTCCAAGCACTTCACTCCTGATGGTTATAATTTGCTACATTAGTATATTTTCATCTTCTGTTTTTTATTTTAGTATCCCAGTTTTCAGTTTAGTAGTCTATACTTTTTGTCAGAAGGTTACAAATTCGATCTGTAGGAAAATATATGAGATATTAATGTTAATTTCAAGGGTTATGTTGTGTTATTAATAATAAATAATCGATTTTGCAAGTTTTAAAAAAGATGTATAAAGTACGTGTTGTATGCGTTTTGCTGATATTAGCTGTCAGAAGAATTTGTGAGGTTGACTGAGAATGATGTTCAAAATTAAAATAATATACAGGCATGTAATATGCATCATTAAAACATATCACGGAGTTATGAGTACTGTGCAATATTATACTCGAAATCTGTGTAGAAAAATCAGTACCTTAAAAACACAAGATGTATAATGGTATGAAATTTTAAAGAGTATCTTCTCTCTTTTTTTTTCCTGCAGTCTTTTTTCCTTTATGGTATAGCTTCCTACGAAAAGAGTTAACATAGTGCAAACAACTTTCAGCTCAGGTCTGTTCGATGTCGCAGACGAATTTGAAGCACCATCTATTGGTCATTCAATCAATCAAACAAGATTCTTTGCATCATGCTTTCTTCGAATGACGACTGCTCTTTAAAAATTAAATTCTGGCCCTTTTTAAACGAAATTTAATTAAGAAGACCTTCTATGAGTTTTACCTTTTTCTCATGCTGAAAGCATTATCTAAAAAGCTTTTATTTTTTATAATTTAGGCTTCAAAATTTTCCCTTAGATGAACCCCTCTTTTGATGTAATTATTTTTATCTCTTATGATGTGGAATTAAAGGCCTAGCCTAGCCAACACGGATTCTACTGAGAGTCGGTGTAAGCCTAACGCATTCCGTACATTAACTTCCTTGATCCTTGATGATCATGTGTTTCTTCGGGCTCAAATGCTTAGATTTACGGTGCAACGAAACCTACTAAGAAGTTTGTCTGTATCTTGTAACCGAGTGATATATATTGGTAAATATGAAGATTAAAATATTATCAGCCCTTGACGACAATTATATGTATTTAATTATTGATGAAAAAACTAAGAAAGCAGGAATTGTTGACCCTGTGGAACCGAAGAAAGTTTTGCAAGCGGTATCAGAAGAGGGAGTTGAACTAACAACAATATTGACCACTCACCATCATTGGGATCATGCTGGTGGAAATGCTGAATTAGTTAAACTGAAAAGTGGTTTAGAGGTATACGGAGGTGATGCTAATATTGCAGATTTAACCAGGAAACTATCTCACGGTGATGAATTCCATATAGGTTCTTTGGTTGTCAAATCATTACTCACACCTTGCCATACGAGAGGTCATGTTTGTTACTTTGTTGAAGACAGTTCACAAGGTCCTCCTGCAGTATTTACGGGGGATACTTTGTTTTCTGCTGGTTGCGGAAAATTTTTTGAAGGCACTGCTGAACAAATGTATGAAGCTTTGGTAAAAATCTTAGGTTCTTTGCCTGATAACACTGAAGTTTATTGTGGTCATGAATACACAGCAAAGAACTTACTATATGCTGCTCATGTGGAGCCAGGTAATACAGTTATTCATGATCGGCTTAAGTGGGCAAAAACCAAAAGAGCTGCAGGTGAACCAACGGTTCCTTCAACTATTGGTGATGAGAAAACTTTTAATCCATTCATGCGAGTACATGAAACTGATGTATTGAAACACACTGGTCAGAGTGACCCTATTCTTGCTATGCAAGCACTGCGCAATGAGAAAAATAACTTTTCAGCCCGTATTTAAGTATTATCGTTTAATGCTAAACATTATGAATAATTAAAAATTGCAAATGTTTTACTAATCACATGTTTGATTCTCAAATGTTGTAAATAGAAAAGATACGAATTTATTATATACATTTTTCATTACTGTACTTGAGTCAAAAGAAATAAAAATTCATGTTCAGTAAAATTTCTCTTTGTAATAAGTTGTAAGATATAATAAATTATTAAACACTGTATTTTTTCAAAATAGTTGCATGAAAGAAAGTTCGAGTGGAAAAGTATGTGAGTAAAAGGAGTTCATTAATCATTACCCATTCACTGAAATTTGTGTCACCATGTGGAATATATTAGCAGATAAATAAGCAAGATTTTTATTTCCTCCTTTGCTTGTATATGTGTACCAAATATTTGCATTTGAAAGTGCTAAGTTTAATTTTATATGTTGATTGAATAATTGTGCTAAGTCAAAATGTCGTATTTAGAATACTTTATAGATGTTGAAAATAAATCTATAATTGCTATAAAAAATTAATTATTTTTGTATTTCCAGGTTATGATATAAATATATGTAATATGTTCTAGGATATAATATAAAAAGTATACAATTTTGTTCATAAAGGAAATATCATATTTTCTTATATGTCCATTAAACCTTTTAACATACAGCTAAGGCATTTTAAGGACATAATCTTCTATATAGTACAGTTCCAAAAAGAATCATAAGTCGAAACAACTTATTGTTGATTTAAGTTTTTACTTAAGCAGAACAAAATCAAATCAACTATCTTTAGAGACATTTAAAATTAGAATTTTGAAAACTTATATAGACTAATTCATCAGTCTTATCTATCAGTTGTTTATTAGATATTAGACCGTCGTTATCACTTTAAAAATATTTCCTAAAGATAGGAAGTAGAATGGCTGAAAGAAAATTGAGTGATTGAGATACAGGGTTAATTCTGTTTCGCCAATATATAGCTTGGTACGCGTTTGATTGATGCATCTCAGTTTACTTATGAAAAAAAAAGTGGTGAACTGTTATAACATTTTCAGGTACTTGTGTATTATCAGAACCACCTCTGGGACATTTTGGCAAATTTTATGGAAGAACAATTACTTTTATTGTAAAAATTTATATACAGTCAAAAGCCGTTAATCGGGACTTTGGCGATTCCGGATTATCGATTTTTCCGGATTATAGATCATCAGTTTAAATCTTGTAAGATGGCATGCAGAAATTCTAAAATTAAAAATATGAAACCGTAATTTATGAAATAAAGAACAATTATAATCTAAAGGGTATCAAAATTTACAAAAAAAAAAAGCTTAATATTTATTTGTTTACTTTATTAAACATTTCTTTCAATGCAAGTTGTTTAAGTTGCTTCATTTTTTGTACTAATACTTTCTCTTTAATTCTATAAACAGACATAATTTCTTGTTCAGTTACAAAGTTCCGCTGAAGTCCCGTAATTGCTGTGCCGAGAATACCGACGAACTTGTCAATCGAAATTTTTCGTTTTCACTACCCTCTCTGTCACCTTCTTCAAGTCTTTATCCATTTTTTGCAGCAATTCCACTTTTTGTTTGATGGACATCGAAACATACTTTCGTTTTGTAGATCCTTGGGAGCTCCAGCATCGGAAATTCTATTTGACATAATCGAAAGTTCAAGGTTTACTTTTATAAAATTGTTCTTACAGTCTGCAAAAAATAATAAGCCGGATCCAATTTGAAGATTAAGGAACAACGCAATCATCAACATTAACTGAAATAGATAATTAGATAATTTTAGCTTATACCCATATATACTATTTTAGCTTATATTATTAATTATGTGTCAACGCGGCGCATGTGCAGAAAGTTTTTAGCTTTGAGGTCCGGATTATGGGTGTCCGAATTAACGACTTTTGACTGTATTACATACATATTCTACATGTAAACTATATGTTTATTTCAAATGACAATCCACAAACAAATGGGTTTTCTTTCTGTTAGGTGGAAATTTCATAATGATCTGTTTGAGAAAGAATTAAAAGCATTGTTTCCTTTACTAATTTTGCAGCAAAATAATATATTCCTGCCTAAATGTCGCCTCCTTTTCTTTTATTATTGGAAAATCATACAAGCACAAATTTTAAAATTGAGTTTAGGATAAAAAATAATCATAATTTTTCTATCAAAGCCATTGAACTTGGAATACAACAAAAGAAACACACATGAAATGGCAACATTGGAAAATGAATATTTGTCATGTGCGTGGCTGCCTGAATAATTGTTATGCACATGGTAACCAGAGTTTGTTGTATTCTGAAGCTTTGGTGATTTCTACTAAGGTGGTTGCGAGGTTAGAGTAGACGTTAAGGTACCCCTTGTATTATGGCGAAGTTGTTTTATTTATCGCCAAGTTGTTGTTTCATTTATGGTAGCCTGAGTAGTTGAATGTTATGGAAAACCTTTTGTAACGTAATCGGGTGCATGATTCTGGGAAATTTTGAATCATGGGATGTTTCTGTGTAAGCGTTTTTGTGGTGCGTGTTGGTTTGGTTGTTTAGACAGTAGAATGGCTGAATGTAGTAAGATTAATTTAAAGTTTCTGTACGATTTGGAGCGAAAGGGGAAAAGAGCGTTAATTGACTGGTATGTAAATGAAGGTTTACTTAGTAGCCATTATAAGTGTTCTGTATGTAGGAAGGATATGCGTCTAGTTGAACATAAAAACCGTTTAGATGAATTTAAATGGGTTTGTAGGAAGAAAGCTTCAGATGGTCACTATGTGAAGCATTCGATCAGAAAGGGTACCTGGTTTGAAAAAGTTATTTGAGTATGATATTTTGATTTTTACGTGGCTCTGGGTTTACGAAGCGAACTTAAAAATCATCAGTGTGGGATTTGTTCTTGAAATAGATGAAAGTAAATTTGGGAAGCAGAAGTATAATAGAGGTAAATGAGTGGTGGGAAAAGAACGAGGGACGAGAAGGTGTTTCTTTGAAGTGGTTGAGGATAGAAGGAAAGAAGCTTTATTGAATGTAATCGAACGAAATATTTTGCCAGGTACAACTATTGTATCTGACTGTTGGAAGTCCTGTAAATCATGCAGTCACGTTTAAAGATCCAGAAACGGGAGTTCATATAAATAATATTGAAGGCATGTGGGGTGTGGTGAAGAGAGATTTTCGAAAAAAGTGTCATTGACAGTCAGGAACTACGCAGGATATTTTTGACGCTTATGTAATATTTCATATATCTTCGCCAATCGGTAATAATGATAATGATACAAAGTTTTAACACTAATACTAAACTGATGAAACACCCCAAAATATAATAAATTTATTGAATTTTTTAATTACGAGATATATGATATGATCATGGAAGAAACTATAGGTAAGCTGTGATCAAAGGGAACCTCCACGGATTTACAATCACAAAGGATGCTTCAAAATATTCATTGGTTTTCTTGCATTTAGTAACTTTCATATATTGCTATCTGAAAGGGATTATTGGTTCAATCAATTGTGAATAATGCTTTTAGTATGAATGTTTATCTTGAAATAAAATCTTCTAAAGCCAAAAGAAATGACAAATACCGTAAATTGAGATCTTCAGTTGAAAAAGTAAAAAACAATTTTCACTAATTTGGAATTTTTAAGGAAAACTTGTCAATCAGTGAAATGATTGTAAAGTATTTATGATCGCCCTACTCTGAAGCAATTTATTGAATCAAATCCAGATTGGTTTGGGTTAAGTTTTGGGCGATGTTAAAGTAAAGATGGATAATGGTTTTCTTTCTCAATTTATGCTATAAAAGAAAATAGCCAGGAAACAGAACCTTTAGGTACCAGAGTAGTTTAGTAAATTTTATCGGTAGTGGAAAATCCAAAAAGTTATTGTGTATATTTTGACAATTTTTACAGTAGCTATGCGTTGCTTTATAAGTTGAAGGGAATGAAGTTTAGAGATACAGGCACAGTGTATATAGTTCAGTCAAAAAAAAGATTTAGAATCTGTTCCTCATGGATCATATGGCTTTAGGTTTGATACCAAAAATTAAATTTTACTAAATAAGTATAATGTCAATAGGTGTGTTTCAATGGTCACAAGTTTTGACCAGATAAAGCTCCTGGCTGGAAAAGAAAAAGCATGTATATAGTTCCTCAACCTTGACTGATTCATAACTACAATCAACATATGGTAGGAATGGATCACCATGATTGACTTTTGGAGAACCATTGTATTGCAGTTTGCAACAAAAAATGATACTGTTTTTAAGAATAATTGATATCACTGTTTTATTGCTCTTGCAGAATTGGTAAGGGTAATTTTTCTTTAGGATTTTAGACACTGCAACTTGGAAAGCTTAAAAAAAATTGAAGACAAGATTTATAGACTCATGATTCTAGAAGATTCCAAGAAAATGTGACAAAATGAAAAATTACTTCACGGTATTAACACATAATGGATATATTTTGCAGAAAGTTTGTGATGGATTTCGGGAAGAACAATGAAAACATAATATTTGATTGTTTTACTTCTAATACTAGAAGTCTTTTTCTTAATACGTTTATCTTCCTATATGTTCTCTACCTTCACTAGACATAAGCATGGAAAATATCAAAAATGCTTCTATTCTTATCACATGGACAAGCATTTATAGAAAGGAATTTTTCTATTAATAAGGAAATTGAAAATTGACAATTCAAAAGATTTATCTTATATGTCTTAATGCATCATACACTAGGCATTTTCTCACCTAATGCAATCTCCTTGGATCCTAAATTCTGCTCTCAGTGCCTGCTTTATTAGATTATATTTAAATTCTAAAAGTTTTGTCATTTCTAGATTTTGTTGCTTGGTGCCGCACTAAATTCTAAAAATTCTGCCTCACTGGCTCTCTAAACAGTCCTTACCATATAGTATATACACAGTCCAGTCACATTAATGTGACCATCTGTCAAAAGCCAGAATAACCACCTTTCGCAGAGCGGACTGCTGCGAGACGTGCAAGAAGAGAGTCACATAGGTCCCTGAAGGTGTTCTCTGGGATGTTGAGCCATGCCGACTCTAATGCCGTGGCCAGCTGCGCTAGATTACCCGGTTGAGGATCCATGGCGCGAACAACTGGATCGAGATGGTCCCACAGATGCTCGATTGGGTTTAAGTCAGGTGAGTTTGCTGGCCAGGGGAGGACGGTAAACTCATCCTGGTGCTCTTCGAACCACGCACGTACACTGGCAGC